CATCCGTCTGCGGATGGTAAGAAGAGGACATCGCCCGGGTAATATTAAAACGCGAGCATAGTTGCGACCAAACTTCAGATTGGAAACGTGGATCCCTGTCGGAAATGAGGACTTCGGGAAAGCCGTGGTAACGGATGAGGCGGTCAGCAAGGAGCTCTACAGTGTCAGCGGCTGTGAGGGACTTCTTGGCCGGAATAAAGTGTGCCATCTTGCTGAGAGAATCAACGACGACCAGAATAGCGTCGTGCCCAGAGGAGGTGAGGGGTAAGTCGGTGATGAAATCTAGACTGACATGGCTCCACCTGCGCGAGGGAATAAGCAACTGTTGTAAGAGACCGGCAGGTTTTTGATTAAGTGATTTGGCTGCGCGACACTGCGTGCAGGACTCCACGTACGCGTTGGTGTAAGTACGCATGCCAGGCCAATAGTAACGCTTGCTAAGGGCCTTGTAGGTCTTCTTTTGGCCTCGATGCCCGGCGGTGACGTGATCATGGTGCATGTACAGGATGTGAGTGAGGAACTCCGGAAACTGCGGCACGCAAATAAGCCAGAGACCATTAACGCATATGTGTAAATAGGGCAGGACAAAACGGAAGGTGTGACGACGATGTTGGAACTCCAGTTGAACGACTTCACCCTGCTTGGTAGAGGCAGTGTTATATGGTGCGCCGAACACCGGGCACTTAGAATACGCCGCCGGCCAGTCGAGGTCGGGTGAGCTGGGCGTAGGTCTTGGGTCTGCCGGCGTGGAAGATTCGGGCGCGGGGTCGAGCGTAGAGGTCGGGGATGGAACCGGGGGTGAGGGGCTGCGTTTCCTAGAGGAACGTCGGCGGAGGCCGGCAAGTTGCCGGTAGTCAGGATGTGTTCCCCGGGTCCTGTGCGTTGGTTCGGACTGGTCAGTCCCAGGCCCGAGAACTGCAAGAGACCCAGAATTGGTCTCAGGGGGGTTGATGGGGGAGGGTGAAGGACTGGGGGCTGAGTGACAAGGAAGACGAGACAGTGCATCCGCCACTTGATTACGTGCACCCGGCAGGTATGTAATAGTGAGACCGGGAAACTCAGCTAGAAAATCTAGCCAGCGGGCGGTGCGGCCGCGAAGAGGCTTCCACGCCTTGAGCTGCTGTAAGTATGTAAGAACTTGGTGGTCGGTGTGGGCCGTGACCTTGGTAGGCCTCAGTAAGTGTGCCCACTTGTCGAGTGCAGACACTAAGGCCAAAAGCTCCTGGTCATAGATGGAGTATTTCTGCTGCGTGGGGGTCATGGCCTGACTGAGGAACCCTATTGGCTGACCGGCCTGTTCGAGGACCGCGCCAACAGCAAAGCCAGAGGCGTCCGTGTAGAGCTCAAAGGGTTTGGTTGTATCAGGAATCTGTAAGGTGGTGTAATCAATCAAACGCTGCTTGAGGTGGCGTACCGCCTGAGTGTGTGCGTCTGTCCACTGGAAAGGGACACCCTTGCGCGTGAGATCTACTAGCGGGCGGGCGACCCTGGCAAAATCCGGGCCCATGAACATTCGACAATAATTAACGGTGCCTAGGAACTGACGTATTTGCGTCTCGTTCTGCAACACCTCAGGCCACGCCTTGATGACTTGAATCTTGTCGGGTGCGGGTTTTATACCCTCCGCGCTAACGGTATAGCCCAGGTAGGTAAGCTCCCGCTTTGCAAATTTGCATTTAGAGAACTTGGGGTAAAATTGCTGGTCAAGAAAAATACCGAGTACCTGTTGGAGGAGAGCAACATGGCTGGGAAGGTCAGGGCTGTAAATGAGGACGTCGTCAAGGTACGCGATGACTCCCTGACCTAATAAAGGCTGTAGGTATGCATTGATGTTGGCCTGAAAGGTAGCAGGTGCGCCCTTGAGACCAAAGGGCATGACCTTATACTCGAATAACCCCATAACAGAACGGAAAGCTGTCTTCCACCTGTCCTCCTTGGCCATCCTTATCTGGTGAAATCCTGACTCGAGATCGAGGGTGGAAAAGTATCGGGCCCCCCCCAGCATCTCAAGAATCGTTTGAATAGGTGGTAGGGAAAAGTCAGGCGCAATCGTAAGGGCGTTCAGCTCCCGGTAGTTGACAACCATGCGCATCTTACGCTCGCCCGTCGCATCACTTCGCTTATCCACCATAATCGTAGGTGCGCAGATCGGAGAGTAAGTAGGGCCGATCCACCCATTAGCAGACAGCTTAGCTATCTCCTGTTTGTGAAACAGAAGTTGTTCGGGGGTCATGCGGTAAATCGCCGATTTCGCAGGGAGTTTCCCTGGCACGAGAAGAATTCGGTGATCGTGGGGGCGTTTCGGTGGCAGCCCGGTAGGAAGTTTATCTGGAAAGACCGCACGGTTGGCACACAACACCTCCAGTATCACTCGGGGAGTTTCCTGCGCCTCCTCGGAGTTTAGCCACGTATCAAAATTCGAGTACTCTAGTTTGGCCGTTGGCCAAGGAGACGTTTCCTCGTCGTCGGTATACGCGGAAACGGGTAGTGCCTGAAGACACTGCCGGCGGGAATTGGAAAGGGAGGTCTCAACCAAGGCACAACATAAAGCCCCTTGCCTCTCCTCCACTAGACGCAGAGCCACGTCCGTCTCCATTGCGGGAAGCGCTAGTATAACGTAGA